CTGGGGCGGGGCTTGGGGCAGACCCTCCCCTCCAACCATTTTACTTCTTTTATCCAGCAACTTCTCTAACTACAAGGCTCGCTTCAGCATGCCAGGGAACAACGAAGGCCTGTGGTACAGGTAATTCGGGGCAGGGCCTTGGGGAACTGGCCCCTTAAGGACAGGAGACTCAGAGGAGGTCGCCTCTCTGACCCTGTCCTCTGACTGCTCGCCAGCTGGGATGTGGGGCCCGCACACATCATCTCCTTCTCCACTGAGGTCTATTTCTTCCTCCATTACGGCCGCCACCTGGTAGAGAGACAGTTCCACTGGCTGGAGAGTGACCTGCAGGTAACTCGGAGGCCCTTGTAATCGGGGAGGCGCCTGCCTCCCCCGCCTGGCGCCTGCCTCCCTCTCTTCCCTCAGTGGGTCACTCCGGCTCTCTCCTGCTAGAGAGCCAACAAGAACCGGGCCAGCCGGCCGTGGATCATCACCATGGGGCACCGGCCCATGTACTGTTCCAATGCTGACCTGGACGACTGCACCCGGCACGAAAGCAAGGTGAGGACCCTCCCTGGGTGGTGAGAGCCTGGCGGGGACAGCCAGTCACCCCGCCTCTTCTCTGCCTCCCCCCAGGTGCGCAAAGGCCTCCAGGGCAAGTTATTCGGGCTGGAGGATCTCTTCTACAAGTATGGTGAGTGATGGCAGGTTGGAGGGCCGGTGGCCTCGGGCCACCTCCGCAGGATCCAGGGTCCTCACCTCCTCCTCTTGCTCTCTCTGTCTCAGGGGTCGACCTGCAGCTCTGGGCTCACGAGCACTCGTATGAACGGCTGTGGCCGATTTACAACTACCAGGTGAGGTGTGCGGAGACTCGAGGGTCCCCGTGACTGGAGTCAGTGGGCCCTGGTCAGGCCCCTGGCTTCATGGGTGTGACCGCCCCACCCCTGTCCCTTCTCCAGGTGTTTAACGGCAGCCAGGAGATGCCCTACACCAACCCCCGAGGCCCCGTCCACATCATCACAGGATCTGCTGTAAGTGGGGCCAGAGGGGCCCCGGCTTCTCTCCTCTGGCTTCCAGTGGGGCGGAGATCTGGTACAGAGCGCGTGGAGGAGAAGGGGAAGAGGAGGCGCCCAGGAGAGTTACAGTCACCAGCACCAACTCCTGAGCCCGGGAGATCAGAAATTTGGGCACGTGCCCTTTGCACAGATGCGGAAACAGAGGCTCAGATAGCAAAATAGCTGGACGATTGTCACCCGGCAGTGATTGGCGGGGTGGGCGGGATTGCTGCTAGGTCTGGGGCTTGGGTTTATATCATTACAACCCCAGCAGACTCCAGGAACGACGTAGCCGTCACAGGCGCCCACAGAGTATTTATGATCTCTCACTGGCCCTGTTGTTCCTTGGCTTTCATCCCCCACACTGTGAGGACCCCTGGCCAGTCATGTCTGCAGAAGGCACTACCTTTCGCTACCTTTGGGCTTTTCTGCTCTCTCATGCTGAGGTGCCTTGGGCATGTCAGTCGCAGTGTTCTGTGGCCTCAGTCCCAGAGGGAAGAATTATTATAGGCCCTTTTTTTTTTTTTAAAGATTTATTTATTTATTCATACAGAACTGGGGTATAGGCCAGAGATGTGGAGGGTGAGAGGCTTCACTGGAGACAGAGTGGGGAGCAGAACAGGCAGATAGACGAAGTACACTGCTGAGGGGAGCAGCGGGCGGGTCAGGAGAGGTCTGCCGTGGCCATGGGGTCACCTCCAGGGCAGGCGGGGTTCGAACTCATGCGGAAGCGGCTTTAGATTCTCAGTGCTGTGCTTTAACCCGCTGCGCCACCAGGGAGGACCTATAGGCCCTTTTTAATGAGTGAATCGTGTAGGTAGACTTTTAGGTCACCCCAATGTCCTCTTTCTCCCCTGACTTTCCCCACGAGTGTTTGAGCCTTCCATGGGTCTTGCTGCGAGCTTCCTGTTGCCGACATCCCTGCTTGAACTGTTCACTGGCTGCCTTCTGTGTGGATGAGGTGTCCCTTGCACCCCATTTCTTTGGTCATTTGGCCATTGACTCAGGCCTGTGTGGACACGAGGCCGATGAATTTTGGCCTGTGTGTTAGAATCAGGACGACTGTCACTGCTGTGCTGGTCAACTGCTCCACTTGGGTTTCCGGGACCCTCGGGCTGGCTCCTATGTCCTCTCGATGTGCCGTGTTGTCAGGGTACCCAGGAGCTTCCTGTCATTTTCCCTGCCCCCTTGGCATCTGTCCCTTCCACAAGGGGAGCGGGCTTATTTTCTATGCTGAGTCTTATTACAAATTACTCAGAACCACTATGGTGATGGCACACGGGCGATTTGGTGATGGGAAGCCCACGGGGGTTACAAACGAGATGGGGAAAGGCACAGAATGGTGTAAAAATAAACTATTATGTCTTCTAAAATCTTTAAAAAAATTAGAACCACTTGTGATCAAAATTCAAACTCTGCAGGGCCTCCCTGGTGGCCTAGGGGTTAATCTCACTGGTACCACCTCTAGGGCCTGAGTTCGATCCCCGGCCAGGGAGCTGACCCATATGGCGCGGCAGACCTCTCCTGTGTCAGCTGTTGCTCCCCGCAACAGTATGTTTCAGTAGAGTTGCCTGTTCTGCTCCCCACTGTGTCTCTGGTGAATCCTCTCACCCCCCACACCTCTGGCTTACACCCCAGTACTTCTGTGGATAAACAGATAGACCGACTGACCGTACAGAGGAAGGAGGTGAACACCAGCCATCCACACGCCTTGGGGGTCCCACTGTCCAGGGTTCTGCCTCTTGGGTGGCATTTATTTTTATTTATTTATTTTTAAGATTTTATTTTATTTGTACATGCAGAATTGGGGTACAGGCCAGAGGCTCAGGGGCAGTGAGAGGCTTCACCAGAGACAGAGTGGGGAGCAGAACAGGCAGATCGACGAAGTACACTGCTGAGGGGAGCAGCGGGCGGGTCAGGAGAAGTCTGCCACGCCATGTGGTCACCTCCGGGGCAGGCGGCAGGCGGGCATCGAACTCATGCGGAAGTGGCTTTAGCTTCTCAGTGCTGTGCTTTAACCCGCTGCGCCACCAGGGAGGGCCTTGGGTGGCCTTTAAATCATGTTTTGTGCAGCTCCCAGGGAGCCAGTGTCTCGGCAGAGATATGTGGTTGTGGTGCCTCCTGGTACAGGAGTTTGGATCATGCTTCAGAGCCTGGTGGGTCTCAACCTGGGGGTGCATGAGCATTACCTGGGGAGGATTGAAAATCTGATGCCTGACCCAAACACCGGGGTGTCTGAGGGTGACTCCTGACTTTGCCTGTCCCTGTGCAAACAATACCAGGGACAGAAGATAGAATGTCACCCACCCCAGGTGATGTCTCTTGCCTGTAGGTAAGTGCTGTTCTGACTTTCCCAGCACAGATTCGTTTTTCTTTCATTTTGAATTTTGAAATTATCTTGGATTGACAGCAAAGCTGCAAAACAAATGCAGAGGCTTTCTAGCTCTTCTTTACCAGGATTTCCCAAATGTAGATACTTACCGCACTTGATTTAGTCTCTCTTTTTCTCTCACTTCTACCTCTAGGTCAATAGAATACTATCGTTACTGTTACTATTTTCAGATCCAAAGAAGAGGAAGTTGCAGGGTGATTTTATGTTACAGTGTTAATACTGTAACTACTGTTAATACAAGTCCAGAGTTAGTACTGCTCACAGGCTGTCCCCTAACCTACAAGCCTGCTCACATTTAACCAGCCGCCCCATTCATATCCTTTCAAAGTGAGGACTTCTTTTCGTGGCCCAGATGTGAGCCTAAGAATACAGGTTCTCTTTGGGTGTCTTGTCTCTTTAGTTTCCTTTCATCAGGAGCATTTCCCCACTCCTGATTCATTTATCCTGACCTTGGAACTGCCTAAGGGCACAGCAAAGTGGCTTTGTAGACCAGCCCTCAACTTGGTCTGATGTTTGCCCATGATTAGATCGAAGGTACACATTTGAGTAAGAATCCACAAAAGTGATAGCGTGTTCTCAGTGCACTGGTCGCCTTGAGACCTCGGAAACCTCCATTTTCCCTGTGCACAAGTGGTTTTGACCTGTCTCATTACTCCTAATGCCTGCTTTGATCAGCTGGTTAAAGGGGTGTCTGGCTGCTCTCCACCAGTTTCTCTTTTCTCCTTTGTAATTGACAAGATACTTGTTAGGAACTTATTTTGGTAATTAACACGTGTCTCTTGGAAAGCTACTCTGAAACTATGCAAATATCTTGTTCTTCCTCCAACTTTCACCACTGGTCTTACCATCCACTAATTTTTTTTTTAAAAGAAAGGTTTATTTATGCATGCATGCAAGAGCTGGGGTGTGGGCCAGAGGCTCGGGGGCAGGGCAGGGTGTGAGAAGATTTATCAGAGAGTGGGGAGCAGAACAGATGGATCTACTGAAATCCACTGCTGAGGGGAGCAGCAGGTGAGACAGGAGAGGTCTGCTGCACCACGTGGGTCAGCTCCCTGGCCGGGGATCGAACTCATGCTATAGTGGCTGCAGGTAGCTTCATAGTGCTGAGACTTATCCCCTTGTGCCACCAGGGAGGCCCCCACTGATGATTCTTGCCTCTAACAGCTTTGGGTTTTTTCCCCAGCTCCTTTGTCTGCTCTGCTGACTTGGCCTGGCTTTCTGCCACGCTAATGAGCCGTCCCTGTCCTGAAGGCTTGATTTTATATATATATATATATATATATATATATATATATAACAATATAATAGTTTATTTATTTATTTTTAAAGATTTATTTGCACATACAGAACTGGGGTACAGGCCAGAGGCTGAGGGGTGGTGAGAGTCTTCACCAGAGACAAAGTGGGGAGCAGAACAGGCAGATCGACGAAGTACACCGCTGAGGGGAGCAGCGGGCGGGTCAGGAGAGGTCTGCTGCGCCCTGTGGTCACCTCCAGGGCAGGCGGGGATCGAACTCATGTGGAAGCGGCTTTAGATTCTCAGTGCTATGCCACCAGGGAGGCCCCTACAGTAGTTTACTTTTACATCATTTTGTGCCTTTTTCCATCTCAGTTGTAATCCCCGTGGGCTTCCCATCGCCAAATCACTCCTGTTCTATCACCATAGTCCAGCGCACTTCCCTCCCCCCACTGTTTTTGATCCCATTCCCCACTCCACCCCCGTAAAATATCTCTGGTATATAGCTGTTCATTATTATTATATTTCTCACAGGCTTGATTTTTAAAAGCATTCTGGAGAGTCCTGTCCACATTAAGAACCCCCTATTTCCTCTGTCTGTGAGCTGTCATTTCCCCTTAACGATACGTCTTGGTCATCTTCCTGGATCACCCTGCTTTGTGATGGCTATTCTATAATTTATTTAACTGACCCCCATTGATGGGCTCTTGGGTGGCTTCCAGCTCAGGGCTTTTACCGAAACTTTAGCAGTGGAATCTCATGCAGACTTCAAAGGCAAGGCCACAGTCTGCCCGGCTGGGTCAAAACACTCAATTGTGAACATCGTCAAGGCCAAGTCTTAACCACGTCGGGGGCAGCAGGGGCTGACCTGGCAGGACTTTGTGCCTCCCTGCGGGTCCTCCGCCTGCCCCAGGCCCAGGTCTGAGCGGTGGTCTCCCGCAGGGCTGCGAGGAGCTGCTGACCCCCTTCACCCTCTTCCCGAGGCCCTGGAGCGCCCTGCGGGTGAGAGAGTATGGGTACACGCGCCTTCACATCCTCAACGGGACCCACGTCCACATCCAGCAGGTCTCAGACGACCAGGTCAGCAGGGTGGGGGGAGCCTGGAGGTCAGCGGTGGGGGGGTTGGGCATGGGGGCACCAACGTTTTGGGGCCTGGTGGTTAAAATATGGACACTGGAGCTGAAAATCTTGGGTTCCATTCCCACCTCCGCTACTTACCAGCCAGATGACCTCAAGCTACCAGGGTGACGGTAGCTTCTGTCTCACAGGATTGTATAGGGGGTGGGTGATTTAGAATATATAACACGCGTAGAACAGTTTTGGAAACAGGCAAATTTTCAAGGTATTTATCCGCATGAAGCAGGGGAAGAAAAAAAAGGGTGGTATAAAGTGTGTGGGTGGTAGGCGTGGTTTAAGGTTAGATGGCCCCAAATAATCAGGTCTCGCTTTTCTTTGTTTTTGCCATCTAATGTGGAGATAACAGCAGCTTGTATTGCTTGAGCCCTGGGTCTATGCTGGGTTAGACACTTTATATTTATTAAAACTGACGCGGCAGTCCTGTAGGGGGCGATTATCTTTCCATTTTACAAACGAGAGAACTGAGGTTCAGAGAGGGCAAGTCATTTTCCCAGAGTCACACAGCCAGAGCTGGGATCTCCCCTCAAAGACGGATGACCTTTTTATGACAGATGACTTCCATTTGCAGAGTGGGAGACACACCAAGGCAGGCTTTTGTTACTCATGCTGTCTCGTTCAGTTCCTGCTGGTTTCTGGAATGTTCTCTCTGGTTTATGGAATACAGAAGTTAGGGTTAGAGCCTCAGATCACATGCTTAAGGCCCCAGGGACAGTGGTTGTGCTGGGATATTAAGCAAGGTTCACCTGACCTTGGGGTTAGCTCTAAAATAACACCTTCCACTCACACAATCCTTGTCATTTGCTGGGTTCCCTTTAAACCCTTTTGAACATTCCATTTAATCTCCACAACGTCTGAAAGGTAGGTACTGTTACTATCATTCCCACTGTTCAGATGAGGAAAACTGAGGCTCAGAGAGGTCTAGCAACAGGCCCAAGGTCACACAGCTCATCAGAAAGCTCAAGCTGGTGTTGAGCTCAGACCCACATTCTGGGCTATAGTCCTCATGCTTTCTCTGGTTTGTCCCTTGCAGGATGGGAAGATTGTGGATGACATCTGGGTGGTGAGACCCCTGCAAGGCCGGATGATGTACCTCTAGGGACAGGGGCAGTTCTTGTTTGCAACCAGGTGGGGCTGCCTTGGTTGGTATGCCCAGACGCTGCCCGGTGGGGAGTCAGGGCAGGCTTTGACTCCCCTGCCTTCCTGAGGCCCCTCGTGGCCAAGGGCAGCTCTCCCCTCCTGGAGAGGTGGACCGCCTGGCCGACAGTGACAGAGGGGCTGGTGTGCTGGCACAGAGTGAAGCGGGGTAGGTCCTGGGTGGCACCGCCCTGCCCTCCTGCATCGCAGCGACTGGATGGGATGCCCAGGGCCTCAGGAATAAAGAGGCTTCTAGCTATGGCTCATGGACTCTGCACTTCTGCTGGGGATGCCCCCTGGGTGCCCCCATCTTGTGATGTTAGAGCTGCACCAGCCCTGCATCAGGTCGGGGGCTGAGCTGCCACCTTCCAGCAGGGGGCGTCAGTAACTTTCTCCCCGGCTGGCGTCGGCCAGTGACCCCCATAGCCACCAGTGTCACTAGTGTCCCTTCATGCCTCAGTTTCCCAGCCTGGCTCTGACTTACCTGGAGGGGCAGCTGGCTAGTCTGAGGTGCTCACAACCTGCTGGTTTCCTCTTTCCCCCCTTTCTTTTCCTCCTTCCTCTCTTTCCTTTTTCATTTTTCAGCCATTGTTCATTGGGCACCTGCATGTACTGCTGTGAAGGAGACCGAGATCTCTCCCCTCATGGGGCTGACATTCTTCCCAGAAGTCAGACAGCATGAAGTGTAGATACTGTTAAGTGCTCAAAAAAAGGTGGAGACCAGGATGGCCGGGGAGGCCTCACTGAGAAGGTGGCTTTGATCTGAAGGGACCTGAGGGAGGCCTTGTGGGCAGAACCTTCCAGGCAGAGGAGCAGCCAGTGAGAAGGCCCTGGGACAGGAGCACGCCTGCCCTATTGCAGTGTCAATGAGGAGACCAATGTGGCCGGAGCAGGCAGGTGAGGGCAGACAGGTGAGTGCAGACAGGTGAGGGCAGGTAGGGGGTGGGGCAGATGGCATAGGGCCTCTGGGACACGAGAGAGCGTGTCTTCACCCTGACTGAGAAGGAGTCACAGCAGCGTTCTGCTCAGGTGACAGGCCTGATGTGGCCCTAGGAGTTCTAGGCAAAGGTCTGGCTCTGCCCCAGGACTCAGGGGTCCTCTCTCAGGGCAGCCTGGGGGTCTCAGCTCCGTGGCTGACCTCTTAGCTTCAGCCTCCTCACAGCTTGTGCCCTACACACACCCCTATCAGCAGAAGGCACTCTGCTCCTGAAGCCTCTAGAAGCTACTTTCTCACAGCAGGCGTGTGAGGCTCTGTGGCCCCTGGGGCTGGGTCCTTCCCAGCCTCAGGCCTCAGCCTTCCCTGAGCCGCGGGCGGCCACTTCAGCTCTTCCTCTTCAGCTTCGCTGCTAGCTTAGTGTCTGCAGTTCTTGCGTTGCTTTACCTTGCTCAGGGGTGGCCTGTCTCTGGGCAGAGAGTCCAAGGCCACCTTGTTCATTCATGAGTCCTTCACCTCCAGATCCCTTCTCCGCCTGGGTGGGGGTCCCCTCCCCTCCCACACCCCTCCGCCCATGCTGGGCCAGGGCTGTCGGGAGGTGGGTCTGTCTCCCCCACCAGACCGTCAACCCCAGGAGGGTGGTGCCCAGGGCCCGCCCCACGCAAGACAGATGCTTAATAAATACTTGTTGCCTTAATGGAGGCCGGCACATGCCAGGCTCTGGCCGGGCAACTCAGAACATCGTTGACTCAGCTCTGGCCATGCCCCGTGGGAGGCAAGGAAACACGGTTACCCAACACCGGTGACGAGCGATGCGGGAATGCCCCGGAAGGATGCTCTGAGCCCCTGAGGTCCCCAGCTGGGGGTCCCCCTGGTGCATGCTGCAGCAGACAGCTGGAAGCCAAGTGGGCGGCTCGTTCTGCCTGGGGTTGGGGGGAGACTGTGAACTTGCCTTGGGGGGGGGGTTCCACAGAACACACTGGGGCCAGACAGTAGGTGGGTACATGTCTCAGCCCTGGCATCAGAACGTGAGGTCCGCATGCTTGAGCTGGTTCTGTGCACCCTGCAGCCTCAGTAAAGGGGAATCTGGTAACATAGTAGTTGCTCAATAAACATTGGACGGAGAGAGGGAGGGAGGGAGGAGGGAGAAATATAAGCAAAATGCTCAGCACAGCACCTGTTACTTATCTGTTTTCCACTCAGCGACCAGCGAGGCTGAGAGCAGTTAACAAATGGCTCATCCTACGGGACTGGCTTCCCTCTCAGAACCTCATTTTCTCCCTCTGTACCCAAAGAATGGTGACTGGTACCTTGTGAGGTGGCCTTGGGATTAAATGAGGTTGAAAGCCTGCTGTTGTCCTTGACTCTTTCTTTTCCATCTCGTGTCCCACGTTCGGTCAGCTAGTAAATCCTGATGGACATTGCCTTTAAAATCCATCTAGAGTTGGTCCCCTCCCCTCATGGCCGAGCCCCCACCCGGGCCCGGCCACGCCGCCTCTCACTCACCTCCTGCTTGGGCTCTGCCCTTCCCACCCCCAGTCTGCTCCCCACATGTAGCCGAGGGGCCCCGTCCCCTCGTATCCCTCCCCTGCCTGGCCCCTCCTGTGGTTCGTCTCCCTGGGCTAAAAGCCAGTGTCCTCCCAGTGGCCATCTCACAGGACCTGCCAGTGTCCTTCCTGCCCTCATCATCCACAGCTCACCCCTGCCCACTCTGCTGCAGTCACAGTCACACTGGTCGCAAAGACATCAGGTGCCCCCACCTGGCTGGTCCCTCACTACAGGTGCCCACGAGGTGCCCTTTCCCCCTCCTTCAGATCTTTGCTCTCATCACCCCTTTTCCCAAGACCTGTCTTAACCACCTTGTTGAGACAACATCCCGGGCCCTCCCTGGTGGCGCAGCGGGCTAAACGCAGCACTGCAAGCTGGCCGCAGCCTCCTCGGAGCGAGTTCAATCCCCGCCCCGGAGCTGACCCGGAGCTGACCCACAGGGCGCGGCAGACCTCTCCTGACCACCTGCTGCTCCCCTTAGCAGTGCACTTTGTCAGTCGGCCTGTTCTGCTCCCCACTCTGTCTCTGGGGATCCTTTCACCGCCCCTGCACCTCTGGCCTGTACCCCAGTTCTGTATGCAGAAATAAATAAATCTTAAAAAAAAAAACAAAAAAACCAGCATCTCCCTTTCCCCTCCCCCACCTGCTTTCCTCCTCTTTCCTTCAGTCACTTGGTCGTGGTGACGTACTGGATGGCCACATGCTTGATCATTTATACTTTATCTCCTTCAGAAGGTGAACGCCCATCTGCTGGCTCGGTTCTCCCCGCAGCCCCAGGACCCAGCCACCCCATAGCACAGTAGTTGCTCAGTAAACAAGGCATGGAGGAAGGAAGGAGCCATACAGGCAGAATGGTCAGCACAGCACACGACACCGAGAAGCCGGTAACACATAGCAGGGATGACTGTGACTGGTGAATGAATCATAAGAAGGCTCAGCCCTTGCGGCTCCCACTTCTGAGCACAAAGCTGGTGGCAGAAAGAGCTGATTGTGGCACGTGTGATAGAGGACAAGCCCCGGAAGGGGCAGCTTGCAGGGCCGGAAACGCTGGGGCTTCTGGGAGGCAAAGCTGAGCTAGGTCTGACGGACGGACGCTGGCCTGGTGGGCTCCAGGAGGGAGGGAGACTGTGGTCAGGAGAGCAGCGGGCTGTTCTTGCAGAGGATTCGTTCTTTCTGAAAGTGCCTGGCCGCTCAAATCAGCCAAGAGTGGCTTGTGTTGATTGCAACCAGAAACCACAAAGGAACTTTGCACCTCTGGGAACCACAGCTGGAGATAACATAAGGGCCAAAAGGACGTTTGTTTCTGCTTCTGAATGTTGAAGCTTAATTCTGCTGGAGGTGGGAGAGAAGAAGCCATGGATGCTGTGAAGATAGATGTGAAGTGGAGGACAGTAAATGGTACTTTAGAGGTGGCATCCAGGAAGGCATCGCTGAGGAGATGATATTGCACCCCAAGGAGTTTTAGTTAAAGCCCAGAAGAACCATCCAGGCAAAGGGATTAGCAGGTTCAAAGGCCCTGAGGCAGGACTGGATTTATATGAGAAACATAAACAACAAACCATCTCAGTCCCCTTAGCTTAGATTGCCCTTCCCAGAATGCTGCAGGAGAGAAGCCTTTCAGACTGGCTTGTCCTGCTTATTCTAATGCATCTGCAGATGCATCCTTGTCCTGCAGACCTGGCATTTTTTTTTATTGCCAAGTATGTTTCCAGGGAAAGAATATATTACAAGTTATTTATCTGTTCTCCTGTTGATGAATACTTTGAGTTGTTTCCAGTTTGGAACAATTATGAAAATGACTGCTGTGAACATCCCTGGCCCAGTCATTGTGTGAGTAGATGCTTTCATTTCCCGTGATTAAATACCTAGGGGTGGGATTGCTGGGTACTATCTTCTGCATTCCTTTGAAGGTGGCCTGGGCGTATCCAGGACACATTTTGACCTCTGTTCATCATCTTATTCAATGTATTTACTTACCTGTGTGTTTATTATCTACTTCTGAAAAGGAATGTCTAGGAGCCTAGATCCTGAAGTTAGGCTGTCTGTGTGACTTTAGAGAAATTACTTAACCTTTCTGGGCCTCAGTCTGCATATCACTAGAAGGGGGAGAACAATTGTACATAGGATTGTTGGGGGGGGTGGTTAAAAGAGGGCTTAGTGGGATCTGCTGGAGAGAAACGCTCAATAAATGTTTGCAGTTGTCATCGTCAACAGGCTTGACACACAGAAGATACTCAGTGAGTAGATTTATTAAATGATGTTAAACAGCTTTATATACATCAGCTTTAAAGTCAAACTTCCTAGTTCAAATTCTAGCAAAGCTGCATGCTTTCCTCCTCTGGGCACGGGGGCTGAGGACCCATCTATAGAGATGTGGGGAGGATTAGGGATGATTAGGGACAGGTAAAGTGTTCAGAACGATCAAGCATAGGAAGCAATGAAAAGTATGGAAGCAACTTAAATGTGCAGCAGATTGATAAGTATGACACATCAATCATGACAAAACAAGATGAAAAAAAATTATTTTTATTTTTAAAAAGATTTATTTACTTATGCATACAGAACTGGGGTACAGGCCAGAGGTGTGGGGAGTGAGAGGACTCACCAGAGACAGAGCGGGGAGCACAACAGGCAGATGGACTGAAATCCACTGCTGAGGGGAGCAGCAGGCTGGTCCAGAGAGGTCTGCTGCACCCTGTGGGTCAGCTCACGGGCTGGGGATTGAACTCGTGCTGCCATGGCTGCAATAGCTTCATAGTGCTGTGCTTTAACCCGTTGTGCCACCGGGGAGGGCCTCCTTCACTATTTTTTCATGTGCTTGGGTTTTTTGGCCACTTTTCTACTGCATGTTCACCTTTCATGTTGATTTGTAAAGTTCTTTATATGTAAAAGACAAAAACAGTTGCTTGCCACCTATCTAGTCCCATTTATCTTTTCCCTTGATGATTATAGAGGAGGACGACCTGAGGGCCCGTGCTCAAGCTCAGTGCTCCTGATCAGGAAAGGTGATCAGACCTGCCGGGGACCTGTCGGAGGTGGATTCTGACTCCTGGCTCTGCAGTGGGGCCGGCTCCCAGGTGACACGGCCCACCCTTTTTGCAAACCAAAGCCCCCTTGCCTTCATCTCTGTTTCCACCCTTGGAGGGTCATGCCCTGCGCCCCTCTTCCATAAGAGCTTCTTTGGGGACTGAGTCTCTTGTCCCAGGTACCCAAAGTAGGAGTGTGCCTGCTTGTCTATCCCGAGGAGTCCTGGGTACAAGTTAATCAACAGTCTTGTTCCAAAGCATTGGTCTTTGACTAGGATTAGGTTTACCCTTCTAGTCTACCCAGCTAAGTTACAAGGGACTTCTGGAGTCCTGTGCTGAAGATTGTCCAGGGTCTCAAGAGGCAAAAGCAGCATCTGACTCTTCCCATCACTGTGAGCTGAATAAAATGCTGTCATCTTAGCTACTAGTTTTGATTTTGAATACAGAGACTCTGTAAGCCAAATAGTTTCAAAAGAGCACAAAAACAAGAATGTACAATGCTGGCGAGGGTACTTCAAAGTGCCGGTTCTTTCCCCCGCTGGAGGTAGTGTTGGTCGGAACGCGGTCGCACGTTTAAGCAATGTGCGCCCCAGGCCGCGGGGAGGCAGCAGAGGGCAGCTAGCGAGAGCCCTGCCCTGGAGTCACGCATCGCGACGAGTCCCGGCTCTACCCCGTGTTGGAGTGTGACTTTGAACGCATGAAGTTATGCCTTTAAGCTTGTTTCCTCCTCTGGAAACCAGGGATAATCATAGCCCCTGTTATTAAATTTACGCGGCTTAGCACTATGCACAGTGCACAGAAATGCTGCAAACATGGAAAGATTTACTATTATTAAATCTCAGAGATGTACATTTCCTTTGACCCAGCAGTTCCATTTCTGGTAATCTTCAAAGGAAATAATTAGCGATGTGCCCAAACACTTAGCTGCTTGGATTTTCTGGCCGGGAACTATTTATAATAGCAAAATATTTATCACAGTTCAGCTGTTCAACAAGAAAGAGTGGTTAAACAAATTAGAGTTCATTGGTAGGATGGCATCTTATGCAGCCATTAAAATTAATGTTCTTGAAGAATACTTAATGACATGGAAAGATACTGGTGATGTTTATAATCTTGTTTTCCCAAGATATAAAAGTCTTTATAAATGCATTGCTGTTCTGTTTTTAGTTAGTGCACAAAAAAAGACTCATCGCTTAATCGTTCATTCATTTGCTTCTGCAGACATTAAACACCTACTATGTGCAATTCGCTGTATTGTACACACTAAACATTTAAGACTATCTCTAAGGAGGTGGAATCACCACACCTGACCCACCGTCTAACAAATGTTTGCTGAGGATCTGTTAATAATGCCAGGACAACGGGTGGCCACAGTGAAGAAAACAGACCCAAATCCACGTTCTCCTGGAGCATAGGTTCCAGCAGGAGAGACAAACCCAAACCTGTACCTATCATTAACTAATTATCTAGTAAGTTCCAATGGAAATTAAGAAAAAGCCAACAAGGGTAGGGGTTTAGAAGCGTGTGAGAGGGATGCTTGATGTTCGCTACTTTATTCAGGGTGTGCAGGAGTAATCTCATTGATGGGCGACAGCTGAGTAGAACTCTTCCACCACGAGAACACCAGCTAGTGGCTGGAGTTCTGAGTGACGTCGAGTGTCATTGATGAGGCTCTTGTTGCGCTGGCATTTTCTGTTTTTGTGTTGTTGACAAATTAATTGCTTTTAAGAAACGACAGCAACGAATAAAAGCAAATAGTGTCATGGTCTGGAACTCAGACCGTCGTTCAAAACTTGGCCAGCTAGTTTGCCCCTCTGGGTCTCGGGTTGTTTATCTGTAAAATGGGCATTCATAATACAATAGGGTTGGAATGGGCATTCGGCGAGACACGGCAAATAAAGTCCTGTGGCACACGGTAAATGCGCGAGGACTGTTCTGGGCCATTATCACCGGTTACTGCCTCGCACCCGCGAACCCCTTCTGCGGGAAGGTGGGAAACACTGTTACAGAGGAGTCATTTCCTCTTTAAGAATCCGAGTAAGCCAGGGCCAGCTTCCCGGCACCCTTTCCAAACTTTCCAATCCCGGCTTGGCATTTTCCGCCCAAGGTCTCCGATTGGACAATCTTCACCAATCAGAGGCTGGAACGGACGCTATCAGGCTCCCAGCCCCGCCCCCAAAAGGGCCCGGCTCCCGGGCCGGTCAGTCTTGTTGCTATGGGGACTGGTGGGCGGCGAGGGGGGGAAGCCCCGGATGTTCGTTGGGGATTCAACATGGCGGCGGCAGTGGCCGCGGTGGCGGCGGCGCAAGAGAGCTGAAGGCGGCGCGAGAATTCTGCGTTCCGCGCGGAGCAGCTGGGTCGCGAGCGACTACAGCACCAAGCTGGTAGGCTAAGCGGTCTGGCCGGAGGATTGCGGTGGGCCGGCCCAGGGTGGTGGGAGAACGTTTACGCAAGTTGGGGGCGGGGCCGCTGGGGTTAAAGTTCACTCATGGGGGAAGGGTCGTGTCTGAGGGGTCGGGGGTCACCCCTTATGGGGGGCTAGGGAGGCCTAATAGAGGTCAGAGGTCAAATTATTGAGGCGGGGGCGTGGCGAAGGGGAGCGCAAAGTTGGAAATTTGAGGTGGGGGTTCGGAGGAATGGGGCGTCAGCTTTAATACGTTGAAGGGAGGGTGCACCTGCGAGAGTTAGAGGTCACGGCCGGGTGGGGCTGCAGGGGGGGGGGGTGGTTTGAGTCTGCCCGCGGAGCAGATGAATGAGATTTAGTTGGGGGGGCATCATCTGTGGAATCCGAGATGGGTCGTGGCCAAAGGGGGCAAAGGTCAGAATCTGATGGCAGACTGATGAGGTCCCCAGGGACTTAAAGTCACCACACAAGTGGGGCATATTACTGGGGAGGAGGAGCAGGGGCACCCCAGAGAGAGGTCAAAGGTGCTTCTTGCTGGAGGGAGGGGAAACCTGCTCCCACAAATAATGACGATAACAGACAACGCTCGGAACGCTCTTACTGTGTGCCCGGCCCTGTTCTAAATGTGTTATGTCTGCTGAATCCTCATGACAGCCTCAGGGTCGGTGCTGTGAAGAGGCTGGGTGACCTGCCCGGACCCGGTCGGAGGTTGTGGGGCAGGGTTGTGGGGCAGCGACCCCAGCGGGAGAGTCCTGGGGGGAGCCCTGTGGTGCTGTTGCCTCTCAAGTAGTCATCACGTGGGTTGATACCCAGTGGCGCTTGGCACCGCTCAGCGCCGCGCCTGCTTTTACAGTCCGGTGAGGTGGGTGCCGCGTGGACCCACTTTACAGACAGAAAGAGGGAGGCTTGGAGACCTTCCGCTCAGTGACTGAGGCGGATGCCGGGCTGCGTCTGAGGCTTCCAGAGCCCCAGGCCTGGACTGCCACTTCCTAGCGAAATTTCAGGTCTGTTCCTGGAAGCAGGGCCTGGGCAAGGCCGAGCCACTCCCAGGGCAGGAACAGACTGTCTGACCGTCTTGGGAGGGTGTGATCTGGGAGGAGGGGTCCCAGTAGGCCTGTGGAATGGGGTGTCTGTGGGTGAGCTGGTGTCCAGGTAAACTAAAACCCCAATGGCTCATCATGGTCCTCCAAGGCCCCACCTCTTTTCCACTGCCCTCCCCATCCCCCGCCCAACCGCAGGACCTGTTTGCTGTTCAGCTCTCTGCTTTTTGCCTCTCATCAGGTCTTTGACCTTCCTGTTGCCTCTGCCAGGAATCCTTCTCCACCCCACCCCCTCACTCACCAGTCAGTCCCTCGCCTGCAGCCTAGCTCGCACTGCCCTCTGACACTCTTATCTCGCTTGTTTTTTCCCTAGCCCACTGCTCTGCCCTTGCTCATTCTCAAGGCCCAGTGCCCCCACTAGAATGTGGGACCCAAGCCGACAGGAATTTCTCTGAGTTGTTCCTTCCCCGAATCCCCACCTTTAGCTCTGCCTGGTCTGCAGTGGATGCTTGGGGTGGGGATGAATGCCGGGCCCTTGCTGGATGCTGGGGCTGCAGCAGTAGACGGGACACACAGCCCCTGGCCTCCGCCGGGACGGGAAAAGAGGCACAAGGCGGAAGGGACGGTGTGTGCAAAGGCCCTGCACACAAGTGGAGGCCAGGGGGTGGGTGCAGAGTTGGGGGTCTGTGGGTAACAGGTAACCTGTGAAAGGGTAGTAAGATCCCTGGCGTGCACAGCCTGGCAGATGAGCTGTGCCTGCTGCTGTGAGGGGGGCTTGGGGAGCAGTTCTGAAAGCAGTGGTGCCTGGGGGTGCCTGGATTGCCCCCAGCCCCATGCCACCCAAGCTGGGTGACTGGGCGCGTTGCTGAACTCTTCTGGACCTGTTTCCTCCGCTGCAAAGTGGGAGTAGTGGTAGTAGCTTCCTCAGATGTGCCATGCGGATGCAGCCTATAAGGGTTTGGCCCAAGGCCGGCCTGCTCCAGTTACCTGGGGAGGGCCTCAGAGGTGTGGGAAGGACCTCTCCCCACCTCCTGGCTTTCACTGGCCGCCCCACCCCCGCCTGGCTGTGCAGGCCCAGTGAGTGGACTCGCTGCCTGCCGCTGCCTGCAGCCCAGGCCAGCTCGCCTGCTGCCTCAGGGCTGGGGCTTTGGTATGGGGACCCACATGACATTCAGGTGCTTGCTGTGTCTTCATTCACCAGCTGTGGGACCTTGGGCCAGTGATTTCTTCTTTGCCAACTTTGTTCCTTGTGATACATTTTAGACTAGTGGAAAAGTAGAGCTTTCAGTTATAACAAACCCCCACGCCTGCAGCGTCCGGCCTGGGTCAGGACACGTGGACACAGTGCAGGGCCTGCACCCTCCAGCCACCCCGGGGGCTGCGCTCTGCTGGATCGGGTGCCCGCTTTCCTGCAGGCTCACTGCCCTCCCTTGAACGCGCCGCCAGCATACAGCAAGAGCTCTCAGCTCTGCCACCCTGGGGCACCTGGGAGACTTTGAAAGGACGCTGCCCGGGCCCATAGGCCTGAGTGCACGTGATCTGGGGCGCGCCAGTGCTGACCCGAGTTTACCCCAGTGTTTGCGGGTAAATGGTATCACATAAACGAC